GGAAGAAGTAGATGTTGTCATTCCTAGGTTCTCAAGAAAGGAGAGGTTAGACTTATTATTCAGGAGGGAGGGTCCAAGACATAGGGTAACTCCTGCTATGCAATAAGCTGGAAGAAGATGTTCAGTGTCCCTCAGCTCTTGAAGTTACCTTACTCTGTACAAATCCTAGGTCCCTTCTACCTTATATCCTCAGTTACAACTTTTGGAATCATGGGATATATAAATATCTGTCTGATAAGTGAAACTCACATTATTTACTGTTTCCATGCCTAGAGCAGCCATGAGCAGCTACTCATGTGTTTAGCCTAATGAAGACCTACATGTGTTTTATTTAAACAAGCCACAACATTATCCTTTTGTATATTGCTTAGGTAAATGCTTAGACTAGTCCAAACAATCTCGATCCACCATTTGTGCCTTAATTTATCAGTAAAGAAGGAAATACTTCAGTAACTTTGACATACATAGACTGGGATTTCTCCCTTTTTCCTCCAGGCACTTGAGACATGAATCCTGCTGTCTTCCTAGTCATCCTGTGCTTGGCAGTGGCCTCAGCTGCTGAATCTCCTGATGGCACTCTGGAGGTCAAAGATCAAGAGGCGACGATAACAAATGAGAAGACGGTTGGTAATGTGGAAACTCTCCAAAGGGATGTCAGAACTAGTTCTTTTTCTTTGGAATACATAGGAATAAAGGAGGTCATAGTGGTCAACCATGACCAAGGAACTGTTTAAAGTTGTGTACTATGAACACAGGATGGCTTCCATTGCTGAAATACAGGGTATGGAGAATGGCTGGCTGTAGTGTCCTGAGATCCCTCTCCTGGTTTCTCTTTATCTGTCACAGCAAGCCCAATTGGTTGGCTTGTGTTTGGACTTAATATGAAGGAAACCCTGTCACTTATGCCATTTCTAGGTTGGAGAAGAACAGAGCAGAGTGATGTGGGAGGAGTTTATGAAGAAGATTGAACAGGGCAATAAGGAAGATAGCCTGGAGGTTGACAATGTCAACCCTCATGTAAACGTCTTTGACGGCCTGGTGAGTGTGGCTCAGACGGCTTAGCTCTGGGCTTCTTCACTTCACACTTTCATAGTTAGTCTGTTGGTTTACAATGTTTTATTTACTTTTTCCATCAAGATTCCAGAAGAATTCAAGAAAGAGACAAATGAACTTGTATTCAGAATGTTTGAAGACGAGGAAAAAACCCAAACAGAGCCAGCTGACGATTTTGAGGATTGGTCAGGGAGCGGTGATGCCATTCCTGTCCGGGATCAGGTACGATGGTGTCACACTCCCACCCTGTTGACAGAGACTTCTGTCCCGCCTGATCCCACAGCCATTCATTCCCACAGACACAGAGGTTGCCCTGTGAGCTCAGGCTTTCTTATTAACTAACTTTTACATCTTACATTAACCCATAATTCTTTTCTGAGTTCGCCATGTGGCTTGGTACCTTTAGCAGTGACACATTCTCATCTTGCTTCCTTTGAGTCTGGGTGATAACTGTAGACTGAGCCCTTCCTCTTCTGAGAATTCTCCTGTTCTGGTTACCCCACCTATACTTCCTGCCTGGCTACTGGCCACTCAGCATTTTAGTAAATCAATACAAGTGACAGGTCTTTAGTGGACAAGACCCTTGTCCCACAGCATCACCCTGAACTGCCCACTGGGAAGCCAAGAAGGAACTGGAGTCCTCACTCATGTCAGCTGTGGAACAACACACAGCTCACTGTTTGACTAAGTGTTCTGCCCTGTGGATTGTGGCTAGAGGTGATAACTGCTTGTAGGTGACAACCTTCTCCTGTTCAGGGTAGATGTTCTGCTTCATGAGCTTTAAACACGGCTAGTGCCCTTGAAGGGTGGGTGCTCCCGGGGAGGAACTGTGACAAACCCACCTTGCTGAAGTTTTTCTAATTCATGCAATGTGTGCTTTGCTTCCAGCCACAGTAACATGGATGGCAACGTAAAGTAGCCAAGGAGTGAAGCGACCACTGTGCCTTTGTCTCAGAGCCTCCTGCCCCAAGATGTGAGCTGCCTGATGGTGAGGAAGAAGGTCTGAAGTGGGGAAAGGGAGCAGAGCAGGGTCAACATCACAAGACCCAACACTCAAATCCCTTCAGAGCCACACTGTGGTGTGAACTCCAGGGCATGATCACACTAGAATAAAAAACCTTACAAACACGTTAACCCATGT